CAGTATTTTATCATATTTATTTAATAAATTCCATAAACCTTACATGAAAGACATTAAACAAAAAGTACTCACCCCCTTAAAAGGAGGAAGATAATGACCATCAAGGCATGACCAAATTACACAATCTTAGAAAACAGTACAGTAGGTAATTATTGGACCTTTTTGATCAGTGGCATCCTTGCTTTGCAGATGTGTACCAGCACTGCACCTCACAGGTTTCTGTAAATATAGTGATTTGGGGTTCCCTTCTGTTGGGCATTCTTCTATCAGGAAACCATTTGGTGATGAGAAGCTTGAGTTTCTAATGCATGTTCATCGGCTTTATTGGAGCTGCTTTTGTACTGTGGCCACCCATTTAACTTTCTCTGTGGTTGATATGTGAGAGCTAGAGGACTCTGCCTTAGCTTCTTCACCAGAACACCATCTGATATCTCCAAATGTCTTACACTGTGGCTCCCCTGTAAGAGAGGTGGAGAAGAGAGAGGCCAGGGCTGAGGCCATTCCAGTGAGATGATCACTTTCTTGGGCTACTGCCTGAGACTTCTCAAAAAACAGAATCTGTCTGTGGGCTCTAGTGAGGGGAGAGGAACCTGCCTTCAGTTGGCTGGTCAGAAACAGTTACCCAGGGCCGGGTGTGGTGGCTCATGCCTGTAATTCCAGCACTTTGGGAGGGCAAGGGTGGAGGATTGCTTAAGCCCAGCAGTTTGAGACCAGCCTGGACAACATAACAGGACCATGTCTCTACAAAAATGATTTAAAAATTAGCTGGGTGTGGTGGCATGTACCTGTGGTCCCAGCTACTCGGGAGGCTAAGGATTGCTTAAGCCCAGGAGGTCGAGGCTGCAGTGAGCTGTGATTGTGCCAGTGTACTCCAGCCTGGGCAACAGAGTGAAACTCTGTCTCAAAAAGAAAAAAATGTTTCAGACACAGTCAGTGTCGAAGATGTCAATTAGCAAGGTTTTGTTAATCCCCTGGAAGTGTGCAACCCAGAATTAAACAGATGTTTAAGAACATAAATAAAAGATGAATCCCTGGCCAGGTGCAGTGGCTCATGTCTGTAATCCCAGCACTTTGGGAGGCCGAGGCAGGTGTTTCACGAGGTCAGGAGTTTGAGACCAGCCTGACCAACATGGTGAAACCTCGTCTCTACTTAAAATACAAAAATAAGCCAGGCTTGGTGGTGGGCACCTGTAATCCCAGCTACTCAGGAGGCTGAGGCAGGAGAATCGCTTGAACCCAGAAGGCAGAGGTTGCAGTGAGCCGAGATCGCACCACTGCACTCTAGCCTGGGCGAAAGAGTGAGACTCCATCAAAAAAAAACACAAAGATGAATTCCTGACACTTAATACATTTAGATAAAGTCTAACTTATCTTTAAAGTTAACTTTAAACAACTGCTCTACAACATAATATTATCCCCTGTGTAGACAGTGGCCTCTAGTATAAGCTTTGAATTGGTTTAAAAAATAAGTTAGATTAAGTATGAGAACATGTCTCCAGCATTTCCATATCTCCACAACTCTCTGTTAGAAATATCCATTGTGTCCTGTGTTCACTTTCTGCTGAACTAAAGGGCAGGCCAGTCTCCAGAGGATGACAGATGGGCAGAAATTTATAAAACAGCAGCAGTCATGGATGGCCCAGAATACAAGTAGAACATACCAGACCTCTTGGGTATCTACTGCCTCAGTGAGAAAGGATCCAGAGATCCAGCATCCCCAGATTCCCTCACATACTGACCAAAGAAACTTTTTTAGTTTGCAGATTTTGGTGGGAATAGGGAGGGAGTATTAGAAGCTGAAGTTCTTGCTTTATTTAAATAATCATGACAGTAACAAAATTCAGTTAAATAATGCCCCTTCCAGGCTGGGCGTGGTGGCTCATGCCTGTAATCCCAGCACTTTAGGAGGCCAAAGCAGGCAGATCACTTGAGGTCAGGAGTTTGAGACCAGCCTGGCCAACATAGTGAAACTTCATCTCTACTAAAAATACAAAAATTAGCCGGGCGTGGTGGTGGACACCTGTAATCCCAGCTACTCTGGAGGCTGAGGCAGGAGAATCGCTTGAACCAGGGAGGTGGAGGTTGCAGTGAGCTGAGATTGCGCCACTGCACTCCAGCCTGGGCGACAGAGCGAAACTCCATCTCAAATAAATAAATAAATAATGCCCCTTCTAGTTGAAGACCTAAGTTCCCACCTAAGCATAATTTGAATTTACCCAATTTATCTTCTTTCAAAATACCTCAAACATTTCACCTTATTCCTTTTAAGGATTACAAAGTAGGGCGGGGGAAAAAGAAACCATTAATAAGGAATAATAGCTATTTGACAGACAGGTGTTCTTAGTTTCATCAAAAAAGATGCCTGGTAGATTCAGTCTTTTATGAATACTAAAGAATGTGTCTTATTTTTGTTTGTTTGAGACAGGTTCATTTTGAACCTAACCTGGTGTTCTCAGGGAACATAGGTTAGAGGGGAGAGAATTAGTAGTGAAGGTTCAAGCAAAAAGCATGTTAGAAGGCTGCTGTAGTGGTCCCGGTGAGGAGTGGTAAGAACAGAACTAAAATACCATGAGGAACGTGGGCCAAAGGAAGCAAGTCTGAGAGATTTAGAAAGTAAATCATCAGGATTCAGTGGTGACTCTTGGATTTGAAGAGGGAAAGGGAATAATCTAGGGTAGCTGTCAGTTTCTGCCATGGGTAGTTGGGCTAATAGTAGTGTATTAACTGAAATGGGGGGCAGGCAATTTGTGAGGGTGAGTTGAGTTCAGCATGGGACCTGTTGACTTTGAGGTGCCTTTGAAACAGGAGTGGATACGTCTAATTTTACATGAAGTGTCTGCTTAAGAGAATGTGTAGAGACACTAACAGGGCTGGGTAGGAACACGGAATACCTCAGGTACCAAATGAAAACTTTTGGCAATAACAAGAAGTTAAGAAGTTGAAGAGGGTAGAAGAGGCAGCAGAAATGTAGATGGGTAAGAACATCTTGGCATGTTTAAGTGACATTGTGAATAAACCTGTCCTACTGGGCCAGATGCGATTAGGGCTGAGATCAAAGCAGGCCTAATGCAGTTTGCAGACGTGTTTTGTGTGACTTTTGTAGAGCTGGATCACACAGTGTCCTAAATTTAAATTAGGTGCCAACATTTCCACACAAAATCTGAATTTCTGACTTTTCTTTTAAATTAAAGGGATCCTAGAGGTAGATTTGGCAACATTGGTAGACTTATATGATAATAATCGACTGAAATATATGTCCTTTCTCTCCAATGAACCTGTTTTACTTTTTTGTGTTATTTCACCGGGCCCTTAGACATTTAATTTTCTACTGTTTTGTTTTGTTTTGTTTAACCCAGGCTTATAAGTCAGATGAATTTTCTACTTCTGAGTCAAAGATCAGTAGGTAATAAAGGTACAAAGATGGATTAGCAACAGATTACGGAAGGCTTTGAATACCAAACTAAGGAGTGTAAATGTAGGCAGTGGGCCGCCTTTGAATAAGGAATTGATGAGATTAAAGCCATATTTAGGAGGATTATTCTGGACCAGTATGAAAACACAGAAGTTAGGGAAAACAGTTAATAGTTTTGAAAGAGAAGAGAAAAAAGAGATGGTGTTGGTATACATAAATGGGCTTTTAAAATGCAAAATGAGAAGTGTTTTAAAGAGATATCATCCAGGAAGGCTATTCACTGCCACATGGGCACTATACGGGTAGTTGTATTTGGTGGGAAATTTGCTTGCAGATTTCCAAGACTGAGACCCATGTGTGGTGTGGGGGATGGTGATTGTCGGGCATTATGGAAACGTCAAACAGAATATGCTCACTGGCTATCTATGGCCCACAGGTCACTGTAGTCTCTGTTATATGTACACTGTACGTGGAGGAGAAAGGTCCTTTGAAAAAAGAAGGCTAAAATTAATATCTGATTGTTATTAACTGTGTGCCAAACACTGTTTTAAGCTCTTTACACAGACATTTAATCCTCACAACCAATTTCTGAAGTAGGTACTACTCCAATTTCCATTTTACAGACAAAGAAACTGAAACCCTAGAGGTTAAGAACTTACTCAAAGCCACAAGGCTGGTAAGAACAGAACCAGGACTTGAACGCAAGCAGTCTGCCTCTCCAGTGGTTTATCTTTTCACTGCTCTGTTAAGCTGCCCCTGCATTTTTATCTGTTCTAATGCTACACAAATAGGCAACTTTACAGGTAGAGAACCTTATGCTTTCATTCTGGAAGCTCTGTTATAACTCATTTCAGGGGTGTCGATTTGGTTCAGGTCCTCCTAGAAGAAATAAAACTTCAGAATTGACCCTTGAACTGTCTCTTAGGGAGCAGATAATGTAACGGGTCGTTGGGTGACCTTGAGAGAATAGGTATGTTCAGATGTCTGTTCTCTTCCTTTAGCTAATGGCTCAATATAGCTTATAATTGCATGCTTCTAACCCTTTGTTGAAAAATAAAAACTCTTATAAAAATGCTTTTTTTTTTTTTTGGAGACGGAGTCTTGCTCTCTCGCCCAGGCTGGAGTCCAGTTGTGCAGTCAGCTCACGGCAACCTCCGCCTCCTGGGTTCAAGCGATTCTCCTGTCTCAGCCTCCCAAGTAGCTGGGATTATAGGCGTGTGCCACCACGCCTGGCTAATTTTTGAATTTTTTTGTAGAGATGAGGTTTCACCATGTTTGGCCAGGCTGGTCTCGAACTCCTGACCTCAGATGATCCACCCACCTCGGCCTCCCAAAGTGCTGGGATTATAGGCATGAGCCACCGTGCCCAGCCATAAAAATGCTTTTTAAAATGAAAACTAAAACATGTTAAATTTTTTTCATATGTTTTCATGAAAAATTATCACAGGACAAATTTCATAAATATTGAATTTGGAGAAAGTTGAGAGCCCATAACATTGCAGAGAAGCAAATGCATTTGATGCAAAGCCTCAAACTTGCCAAGTTTTTCTACCATATTTAGTGTGGTTTCTTTCTCTTTGGCCTACAGATGAAACATGTAAATGAAAGATTTCAAGATGAAAAAAATAAAGAGGTTGTTCTCATGTGCATTGGCATCACTTCAGGAGTTGGACGACTGCTCTTTGGCCGGATTGCAGATTATGTGCCTGGTGTGAAGAAGGTTTATCTACAGGTACTTTTTTATACTTTTCCCCTATCAGAAATTACTTTCATCACCCGATGGCTCATTAAATGTACTTACATGCTTAAATTATTTTTTATCTTCTTCTTTTTCTCTTTGAGATGGAGTTTCGCTCTTGTTGCCCAGGCTGGAGTACAATGGCGCAATCTCAGCTCTCCGCAACCTCCATCTCCCAGGTTTAAGGGATTCTCCTGCCTCAGCCTCCCAAGTAGCTGGGATTACAGGCATGTGCCACCACACCAGGCTAAGTTTTGTATTTTTTAGTAGAGATGGGATTTCTCCATGTCGGTCAGGCTGGTCTCAAACTCCCGACCTCAGGTGATCTGCCCGCCTCGGCCTCCCAAAGTGGCTTAAATTCTTCTATAAAAATGAGAAATATTTTCTACAACATAACTTCTTTAGGCAGTTTTTCAAGGACAAAGTCAGTTATTAGTTTGGGTTTTAAACATGAAAAATTGGCAATGAAACAATTTCTTTGTTTTGTCATGGAACTCCACCAAACCAGAATGGTTTTCGTCCATTGCTTTTTCTATGAAGAATGTTTTTTGGTGTAGTCCTCATAGTCATGTGCAGATCCTGTGCCCTTTGCATGTCTTAGGAAATTTGGTTGTGTGTGTGACTTTTGAGCTTCTTTGCTGCAAATTGCCTCCTGTTTTTTGGGGGTGAGCATAAACAAATGCTAATTCCAAGATCATTACTGACAATCAACAGAACAAGTATTGAAGTGACTCCTTCATGTCACACACTTAGCTAAATGCTGAAGACTTAAGTGAGATGTGGTCTGTGCCCTCAGCTAGTATCTAATGGTCTCATGGGAGAAGATAAAGCGGTGTTGCAGCTTTAAAAATGGGTTTGCTAGATGGGTGCCATGGCAACATAGGCACCATGCATCTGAGTCAGAGTCACTAGGTCTGAGTAGAGTTAAGAGGAGAGGACCAAGTATGTAGATAAGGAAGACAGAGAAGCATGCTCCGAGCAAAGACAAACACATGGGAAAGCTGTGGAGGTGTGACATGGGATGTTATATCTGGGAAACGAATGTTTGAATGGAATAAAGGGAGAATAGTGGTTGGATTGGTTGGGGGGATGGACAGGAAGCAGCTTGGGAAGGGCCATTATGTACATGAGCTCTATCCTGCAACCTACCAGGAGCTATTAAAGGATTTTAAGCCAGAGGGTGACATAAGTTGGGGGGGCGGGGGTTGGTGTTTTTTTGTTTTTTGAGGCAAGGTGTCACTCCGTTTCCCAGGCTGGAGTACAGTGGTGCCATCACGGCTCACTGCAACCTCGACCTCCCAGGCTCAAGCAATCCTCCCACCTCAAACTCCTGAGTAGCTGGGACTACAGGTGCATGCCACCATGCCTGGCTAATTTTTGTTTTTTTTTTTTTTTTTTTGTAGTAACAGGGTTTCGCTGTGTTGTCCAAGCTGGTCTCAAACTCCTGGACTCCAACGATCCACCCACTTCAGCCTCCCAAAGTGCTGGGGTTACAGGTGTGAGCCATGCCCAGCCTGAGTTGTGTTTTATAAAGATCAATCTCGGCTCTCTGTGATGGCTCATGCCTGCAATCCCAGCACTTTGGGAGGCTGCAGCAGGCAGATCACCTGAGGCCAGGAGTTTGAGATTAGACATGGTAAAACCCCATCTCTACTAAAAGTACAAAAATTATCCAGGCATGGTGGCACATTCCTATAATCCCAGCTACTCAGCAGGCTGAAGCAGGAGAATCACTTGAACCTGAGAGGCAGAGGTTACAGTGAGCTGAGATTGTGCCACTGCACTCCAGACTGGGTGACAGAGCAAGACTCCATCTCAGAAAAAAAAAATCAATCTGGTAACTGTGAAGAGTGGAATGGAGTGGAGGAGGGGACAAGAGTTGAGATAGTCACAAAAGGCCACATACTGAATGATTCCATTTATATGCAGTGTCCAGAATAGGAATCTCTGTCTCTTTCCATAGAGAAAGAAGGTAGATTTGTGGTTGTAGGCGCTAGGGAAAGGAGGGAATGGCGAGTAACTGCTACTGGGTTTCTTTGTAGGGTAATGAGAATGTTGTAAAATTAGATAGTGATGAAACTCACTGAAGTGTACACTTTAAGTGGGTGAATTTCATAGAATATGAATTATATCTCAATAAAGCTATTTTTAAAAAAGGCCAGGCATGGCAGCTCATGACCGTAATGTCAACACTTTAGGAGGCTGAAGCAGGAGGATCACTTGAGGCCAGTTTGAGACAATCCTGGAATCATAGTGAGATCTCATCTCTATAAGAAAAAAAATTTTTTTTTAAGTTAGCCAGGTATGGTGGCACATGCCTATAGTCTTAGCTATGCAGGAGGCTGAGATGGGAGGACTTTGAGCCTAGGACTTTGAGGTTACAGGGGAGTATGGTCATGCCACTGTACTCCAGCCTAGGCCACAGAGTGACACCATGTCTCTAAAATTTAGAAAAAAAGAGTGGAGGTCCAGGAACTGTTGGAAACTATTTTAAAGTAGTCTAGGCATCTAGGCAGGAAGAACCAAGGCAGAGATACTGAGATCAAATGGAATAAGCTAGGGACATAGAGAATGAAAATTTGATGAAGCCACTTAGGCTGGATCTGAGATTTGTGGCTCAGGTAATGGAGTAGATGATTTTTCCATCTTATCAAGATCAATATGCAGTAGATCTAAGTATGATGATGAATTAGGTTTTTTAAATTAAAAAAATTTTTTTTCACCCAGCCTACCTGCCCTTGCCCCAGTGATGAGTTTGTTTTTGCCATGTGAAGTTTGTGATGCCTGTAGGAAAGCCAAGTTGAGTTTAGAGCTCATGGAAGAGTCTGGATAAGAGGCCTGTGGGTTAAGAGGCCTGTGGGTTTGGCATTCATGGGCTGCATGAAGTAAGTGGAGGACTAGGGAGACAGAAAGGGAGTGGCCAGATAGGCAGGGGGTAAAACAGGGACGAGAGTGTTTCTAGGGGCAGGACTGGTCAGCAGTGTCAGTAGCTAGTGACAAAAAGGCTGAAAGGTTTTCATTGAATTTAGAACAGGGAGGCTATGAATGACCTTACAGAGAATGGTTTCAATGAATGGCAGGTGCAGAAAATTGATCATGATCATTTGAACAAATGGAAATATAGACAACTTTGTCCAAACACTTGGCTGTGGAAGCAAGGTAAAGGCGAGCCACAAGGGGGGCCTTAGGATTTGGGGATTAAGCCTGTCTAATTATATTATACATGAGAGGCAGTGTTTGAGCAGGGCCTTGAAAAAGAGGTGAAATTTGGACACAGGAAAATGATTGGAAAAGGCATTACAGATAAAGTTAACTTCCATTAATTGACTTGAAGTAATAACAGTCAACCATTTATTGAGGACCTTCATGTGCCAGACAATGAACTAAGGGCTCTACATGCATTATCTCATTGATCCTTGTCCCAGCCCTTTAAGAGAGGAGGCACCATTGTTATTTCCACTTAGAGATGTGAACACTGAGGAACAGAGAGGCTACCTCATCATGGGTGTGTCTGTGTATAGAGATCCAGGCAGTTGCAGGACAGTCTGGTCACACAGCGGGAAGGAAGTGACGAGAGTTGGTAATGTGCTGCTTTTAAAAATGTATTTATGGTATCATGATCACTTTGTCAATACCTCACTGTGGACATCCTCATCTAACATTTAGTTTTGTTCTCTAGTGTCAAGGGAGCCCTCTAATGGACATTTGTTGCACTACAGACTTTCAGCTTTTATTCATTCAAAAAGTTGAGTGCCTCCTGTGCCCCAAGCACCAGCTCAGATGCCGTTAGGGTGATGCAAACAAGACAGACATGGTCCCTGAGTTCCTAAAGCAAGACTGAGGCAGGAAGAAGCCGAATGTGTTTGGAAACCCAAGAAGACAGGAAAGTGGCATAGGAAGAGACTGGAAAGTTAGAGTGGGTCAGATTAGACAGAGCCTTGAAAGCAAAGATGAAGAGACTTTGCTTTAAGAGTGGTGGATTTTGGCCAGGCGTGATGGTTCACGCCTGTCATCCCAGCACTTTGGGAGGCCAAGGCTGGTGGATCATGAGATCAGGAGATCGAAACACAGTGAAACCTCGTTTCTACTATAATTACAAAAAATTAGCCGGGCTTGGTGGCACGCACCTGTAGTCCCAGCTACTGGGGAGGCTGAGGGAGCAGAATCGCTTGAATCTAGGAGGCAGAGGTTGCAGTGAGCCAAGATCGCACCACTGCACTCCAGCCTGGGTGACAGAGTGAGACCGAAAAAAAAAAAAAAGAGTAGTGGACCTTTGTTGGAGGACATAGGTCTGATTTTATGTTTTTAAAGTCACTGTGGTTGTTCTGTGTGTGGAGGATGAATTACAGGGAGGGAAATGAGAGTGCAAGAGGGGAGGAAGACCTAGTAGGAGATCAATTCAGGGTCCAGGTGAGAGATGATGGACTATGGTGCTGTAATAGATAAACTCATGATATATTTTATATATCAGCATTTTATTCCAAAACAATTTTCGAATGTCCTCCTACCCTAGATAGGGCAGACAGATTATCTGTAACATTTTTGGAGCACATTTTAATACCTGAGTGTTTCCAGTAATTTACAAAAGAAAATATAGCCTTTCCTAACTTGTCCCATGTTGGTCTGCATTTACACAGCAGTAAGTTAAAAGTTAGTATTGGGGGTCAAATATTTCACTTTAGATGAAAGTTTAGCCACAATCTGGCTTCTGTTAGGCCGTATCTAATTTTTTTCATCCAAATGTAGAGCATCGTTTGTGGCAGCCAGTGGTACCTGCTGAGACACAGGTGTGACAGCTGCATTTCAAACAAGCCTGGGAAGGAGAAAGAAAGCCCTTCAGTGTGTCCTGTGGCTGAGAGGAGCCACCCATAGACTCCACCTTGTAAACACAGTGGCACAGGACACAGCACAGGCCTAACCCATGCAGGATGCTGGACTCGTTCCCTTATTCACTACCTCCTCTCTTTCCTTTTTCCTGGCTTCCCTGCCCCAAC